AATAGGACCTGTTCTAATTTTGACAGATCGCCGTCCGCTCAATATCTTGATTTTTGTGTATTTTACTTCAATATACTAAATACTAGTTACAGTTACAAAGAATATGACTGCTGAAGTTAAAAATTCAGATTATTAGCTTTAAAAAGAGACCAAGCTTGTGAATTTACTCTAAAGTGTTCAAAAGCAGTACTTCATTTAATTTGTGTGTACTTTTTAAGGCGTTTTATGGTATTTAAAGCCCGAAGGTAAACAGGCTGACATAGAGGTATTACATAAAAAGACAAATGCTCTTATATTTTATATTTTGTCTAATACAGTCACAACAAACATATTAACATGCTTTAGGTTTTGCTGTTGCTGTTTTAAGATTTGCCTGCGTTGTTTTAAATTATTTTAATTATGCACAGCTGAAAATCCTGTCTCCTGCTGTATTTATTTTGTTTTGGTTGTGAATTCTATTTTTGACATTGTAATTTTTTTTTAATGAAGTCTCAWTGAAGTCCAGTAGAAAACAGTAAAGATTTTAATATTGTTGAGCCTAGAATCAGCTGAAGGTCACAGTTTACAAAATGACACGTTCATCAAATATTTGTGTTAAGATATAAAGTGATGTGACGTAATGAATTGCGATTTTTTTTTTGTACTTAGTGAAAAAAACACCAAATTGAGTCAAATATAAGTAAAGCTAGCATTCCTTGAAAATCTTTACTTTACATTTACTTTAAGCAAATGTAAAGTAAACGTGTTATATTTACTCAATTCAGCTGAGAGGAAAGAGTTGACATGTTGACATTTGTTGTTTGGAGTGAAGAAATGTTTTTTTGAATGAAGACAGCCCCCTTTACTGTAGATGATTTTAGTTGACTGTAAACTGAAATAAATCCAGGATTACCTTAAGAGTTAACCTAATATTTGTTGATTAGTTTTGAGTAATGGAACTTCAACACATTATATTAAACATAAAGCCAGTGTGTAATCATTGAACTGTGTGTTTGACAGTGAAAGGTGCATGGTCCTGCTGGTCATCCTGGTCTCAGTGCTCAGTGGGCTGTGGTGGTGGGCACTACCAGCGGACACGTTCCTGTAACAGCCCCRCACCTGCCAATGGAGGAGATATTTGTATAGGTCTTCATACCGAGGAGGCCTTGTGTAACACACACCCATGTGATGGTAAGGTCACACACACACACACACTTCCTTGTATTTGCATCAAGCTGAGGACTTTGTATTGACTTCCATTCATTTTTGTGCCTAACCCAGACATTTTCCCTAAAACTAACCATTACTGGTCTGTACCCAGTGGTGGGTAACACTAATCCAAAAATTAGGTCCGCAACTTCAAAAACATTTATGCCATAGAAAAACTAGTAGAAGCTAATTTTAAAGCACAAATTCAATTTGACACTTATAGCTGACAATAATTCATGTACAATATATGCACAACACTGCCAACTAGTGGTGTATGAACTCTTTTACAGCTTAATCCTACAACCACTGATTGCTGGGGATGTGATTTCCTGAAACAGACCTTTATCTCCTGGTGTAAAAATCAAAAAGTTGTTGAGGATTGCTAGTTCGGCTGCTTCTTTGTCTTTTTCTTTTGTTTGTTGTTGATTTTTCATTAAAGAAGCATCAATAAAGTAATTATAAAACTGTTTATTGGAAAACTGAAGAGATGCATTCTGGGTACATGACAGATTTGATTTGTGACGGGAAACGAAAGTTTTCCATGTAGTTGCTCCAGTTGACCACTAGATGTCAGTCTAACCCCATTGGCGGATTGCTTCGACCAATTACGTCAAGTATTGAGCTCCAGCGTTTAAATTATTTTTTTAAAAGGAGCTCCGATTGTAAAGAAAAATAAATCAATACATACAAAATTTTAGTATGGATTACAAACGTTTACTGTTTTTACTGGGACAGGGAGTTCTAAACATTGCCTTCCTGCTACGTAAGCAGACACAAAGTATTGTGGGAAATCAGAAGCGTGACCCAAAGCAACAGTCAGCAGGATGTATACCTTCACAATAAGTGTGTTTATCTGGGAGGGGTGCTGTTGGATAGATCACATGTGTTGTGATTCATTGACAGTCATACCTTCTGCTGTTCAACATAATGATGACTGGTAGATAATTAGTTGTTAACGATACTGCATTTTAATTTTAGAAAGCGTAAATCCACATATGAATTATAAAAATTAGTAAGACCGCTAAAGTGCAAACGAAATGTTTGGGTCCGCATTTAGTGGATTTGTGCTTCAGTGGGCTGGTGCCCACCACTGATGATCTGTAACATGCTTTGGTATTCTTGTGCTTTTCTTTGCAGGTCAGTCTGTTTTGCTCCAAATGGAATGATARGTGTAAAGTTTGAAAATGTCCTCCGATATTTTATTTTTTATTCAGTATCTACAAGAGCACTGAAATATTTATGAGATCTGCCTCCTTTTCCAGGATGATTTCAAGTCCAACATCACATCTGTTAGAGGTTCAGTCAGACTCTGATTCTAGGTGTTAATATTAAATTACCTTTGTGGGTTTTTAATGCTGTTTTTTTAGTGTAAAAAAAGCTAAGTTCAAATTATTGATTAGTTAAAAACATGCATCTATTAGAAGTTAGACTGTTAGATTTTTTCTCCTGAGCTGTCCTTTTCCTCTTCGTTTTCAATCACTCATACTGCCATTCACATAGACTAACACATACAGTCAGCCTCTTTGGTAATTACAAGAGGCACTTAAAGGCTTTGTACCTCCCCACCCCCCATCAGACATTAATCAGCCTTCTTTAAATCAAGTTAATGTTTTCTTGTTTGATGTGAACCAACACATCCGGTTAACCCTGCATCAGTCCCAATCTGTCTTCTTGTCTGCTCGGGTATCGATGTGCACACGATCAGTCATTTCTTGGGGTCCTCCTGGTGCGACACCCTTCTTTGCATGTGTAATTGGAGGCAATCTGGCTGTCAGTCACAGGGATATTTGATGCTTCTGTTGTAGGTCATTTGATTAACGTCTCAGCCTGTAACAAGGACGGTAACGTGGGACGACTGAGTGACACAAATGAAAGTGAGCAAAGAGGGTTGTTGTGATGCAGGGGTGTTGAAACCATAGATATATATTACTGGATTGGGCGTGGCTAGCGCGTTGCTAGCTACATTGAGGAGCTTCAACAAAATGAATGGAGGTCAATGGACTGTGAGGTGTCTTCCTGATGAAAAACTCTTATAACTTCATTATTTCTTGATCCATTTTTACAAACTAAGGTTCAAAATAAAGCTGAGGAAATTGTGAATTTTATGGTTATGGAAATTTAAAATAGGTAACTAATTTAAATGACTAAAACAGTGGCTGAAAATAAGTATTTAGCGTTTCACAGGTGTTTTTCTCATACAACTCAACGAGTTCTGACCAGCTGGATATTCATACATATATTTATTAATCAGAACTGAGTCTTAGACATTTAAACAGTGGTAGGCACCACTAATAAAAAGTTTAGCTCCGCAATTTCTAAAGCGCTAATAAATACATTTAATTCCGCAACATCAAAAGTGCACATGCAGTAGAAATATTAACTGAAGCTAATTTTATTCCACAGTTCAATCTGACACCAGTTGCTGGCAATAAGTCATGCATTTTATATGCACTACACTGCCATCTAGAGGTGTATGATCTCTTTTATAACTGTCAGGTGTTGATGATATGATTTCCTGTAACAGACATTTCGCTCATGATGTCAAAATTAAACATTTTATGAGGATTGCTTAGTATTGCTTCTTTAAAACATGTTGGAGATTGCTAGTTCGGCTGCTGCTTCTTCGTC